GCACTTACCAAATCTGTGAATATACTGAAGGTTTATTCTGTTTCTGCCACAAATAAAAGCTAAGAAAATAATTTCCAAGCAAGGTAATTGGGATTGCTGAAGGTTTATATGTGAACCCTGTGAAAAATCACAAAGGGCTTCAAGTTGGTATCCAGGGTAAATATTTCCAAAGTACAAATTACATTAGAGTTGAGGCAATTTTCTTAAATACTAATAAGTGAGTTTTGGGGGGCCTTTTACTTTTTTCCTTTCTGTGGCTAGAAAAAACTTGTCAGTTCATGTCAACATGTCCGGTTATGCAAAAATGAGATGATTATGTCTTAAGAAACATTAGCTACTTTGTTAGCCATGAAATCAATTCTAGAGAAAAACATACACAGGCTCACTTCCAAAGACAAAAGTAAAAATACTTTGGAGGATATCTTGCTGTAGAATATCTTGCTGTTTTACACACGTTAGGATAATAGTCAAGTTGAAAGGATTAATACTGTATTAACAGAGAGAAAACTGAGTCTCCTTTGCTTATTAACAAAAACGGTAAGAGAATTGGCATAGATGGTTGACAGGGTAGGTGCCAGGTAGCTGGATTTCAGGAGGAAAAGGTGTTCCTCTGGGTAACCTGAATAAGGACCCACACACTTCGTGCAGCCCAGTTACTATCTGTTACCTTCAGGGCAAAGTTTGCATGCCTTGCTCCTGTCCCTTAGGTTGTGGGGCATTAAGGACAGCTTAGGGACCATGCATATCTTTTCATTAGAAAGCATTATCATTATGGGGAAATTACAATTCTATACATACAAGTAGTCTAAGGAAAAGATTTAGAATACTTTCTACATTCATCCTTCAGTTTTAGGCCCCAGATACTAAAAGGTATCATTTCTGTATTTCCAGAGCCTCACAGATGGAGGCACTAAAAACAATTTTTGCCGAATAAAAGAATGGAGTAAGGCAAGGTTTAGGAAAGTTATCCTGAATCCTTATTGATTAAAGGAGTATAAAATAATACCTCTGAGGGAAGATGATAATACATTGGGATTAACTGATAGAACTTTGGGGTAATAGTCAAGTACATGAAAGGATTTTTTCTCTCCATTTGGAAAAGATAAAATTGACTAAACTATAGCATTAATAGTACAGATAGCTAGCTATAAGCAAGAATCCAAGTAATATACTAGAACTGTTGACTAATGGAATCAATCTTCAACAGGTTACTAAATACACAAACGAACATATGTCAGAACAGCCTAAATTCTTCTCTACCTAAGATCATTTCTGAGCCATGCCATTTACGTGTCTAAATTATGTAGTACCTTTCTTGCACTGACTCAGGACAAGGGTGGACAGTAAGAGGCCCCTCAGTAGTCTTCCCCTCAGGGTTCTAGGATGTGGTGTCCACAGGTCTGCCTTCCTGTTTGGGAAGACAGCTCTCCTGGAAGTGGAACCCTGCTGTCCTTAGGAAGAATGGTTCCCCTGCTCTGGGCCACATTGTGCCTGGGCTGTTGATTTCCAGACAAAGATGGCTGGCCCTGAAGCCTAGAACACTTTGAAACCACCAACTCTGAGCATTTCAAGGGCTGTGTGAACTAGCTTCCATTGCCAAGGATTCGAAAGCGTAGGAAACTTGAAGCCAGGACATCAGAGTTGAAGAATCCAGCATGACTTTTAACTTCTCTGATACTCAAGATTCCTCACATGAACAGTAGGTAGGCGAGAGCTACTTAGTTTGCAGGGTTGCTATGAGGGTTCTTCACCACATGACTTAAAGGTATGCACCAAGTAAAAATTAATATGTAAATCTGAATGAAGAGCACTAGAAGGCTAGCTTTGAAAAGTATGTCAGACCACAAGGTTTTTGCAAAAAGAGCTGAATTAAAAACTTCTTTTCTCCTCAGCTTAAAAAACTTATCTACCTGTTTACTTATTTCAAGTCAATTAATGTTCAATGTTAAAAATTTAGATTATATAAACAAAACTTAAAAATTACCTGTACAAAATTATGTGTTGGTATATACAACCATTCAGGTGTGTGTGTCTATAGTTGCTTTTCCTTCCCCCAACGTGGTACGTTATGTAATGTTTCCTTACTTAACATTATCCCCTGTCAAGAAATAGGCATCTACGCTGCCATGTTCATGGCTACATAGTATTCCATTATATGGCTGTACCATAAAATATTTAACTGATCCCCTAACAATGAACATTTGATTTGATTTCAGATTTTCATCTTTATAATTAACACTGTGTTAAACATGCTTTACCTGAAAATGTTCTGAAACCCCTGCCATTCCCGGCTCTCCTGGATACCATAATTCATTCAGTGAAGAGGTTGGACATGCATTTACAGCCTGGCAAGCAATGGCACATTCTTCTCTGATTCTTAACATTAGTGTAACTTTCCTAATCTCTACAATAATAATTATTCATATGGAGAATTAGCAGACTCCACAGTATATTGTTCCCATTATGTATCTTAAAGGCATTTCCCATGAAATACTCCTCAAAATAAAATATATATGTTGAGAATTTCAGAAAAATATTTTTTTCCCAGAAAGTAGAAAAATAAAAGAAGCTCTTGGTGCTTGTTTCTAAGCTGTAGGCAGCCTTTGTCTGGAACTTTCACCTCTCCCTCGTGTCTGGTCTCAGTTCTTGAAAAGTTACTGCTCACATGAAGCCTCTCCCAACTAACTCGGTAAAGTAAGTTTTTTCTATGTGTATCTTACAATTGCAAGTCCCATGATTTCCTTTTCAAAAACCACTCCATTTTTTTCTATACAATTTTTTTTCTGTATAAAGTCTATACTTATTGTTTCTTGTTTGTTATCTATTTCATTAATTTTTGCAATTATTTTTATTTGCATCTACCTTCTTTGGGCAAACTCATGTCTTTTCTGGATTCTTGAGCTATGTATTTAACTTATCTACTTTCAATCTTTTTTAAAAAAAATAAATGCTCTCAAGACTTTGCATCCATCTTGGGTTAACTCTTTAGCTGCATACCAGTTTGGCATGGAGTATTTTTGTAATTTAGTTCTAAGCACTTCAAAATTTACATTTTATCTGGCACAGTCTAATTAAAATGTGTTAAAATCTTTCATTATGCTTGTGGATTTGCGAATTTCTCTTTTAGAGTCTATGAAATTTTACTGTTACGTGCACAATTCATGATTATTTTTATGTTCTTTGTAAACCGTTTTTAACTTTTGTAGCGACCGTATTACTATTGAATGCACCTTGAATTCCATTTTTTCTGATATTAATACCACTACTCTAGCTTTCTACACTAGTTGTGATTCGCCTAGTGTCTGCTTTCCCATGCCTCTACTTTCAACCCTTTCTGAATCACTTCAGAGATGAGTTACATCTCTCCTAAGCAGCATAGAGCTAGGTTTTTAAAAAATCCAAACTGATAGTCTCTCTCTTTCAATAATGAATTCAATCCATTTAAATGTGTTGTGACACATTTCTACCTGCTTACTGTGTTTTCTATTTACCATCCTCATTCTATGCTATTCCCCCCAGTCTCATTTCCTGTCTTCTTTTAATAAAAAGTTCTACTTCCATTTTTATTCCCTTTTACTTTAGGTTGTATTTCCATATTTTAACGATTAACCTTTGAACACTGTATGTAATGCATACCTATAACATTAGTGCAATCCTCTGATAACCCTCATTGTCTGTTAGCATCACTGTTTTAAGACTGTTGAAACTAAGTTAGCAGAGATCCAATATATTTAGTACAGCAGTCAGAGAAGCAGATTCACAGCTGGTGCTCTGATATGGAGAGAAAGTCTTTTTCCTTTAATATATAATACCATCATCACTGGATATATTGAAATTTTCCCTTAGCTTTGGTGACTTAGATGAGATTTATGCACATAGATAGGCCCATGAGAAAATTATTTTTCTTTTAAAAACAATTTCACAGAATTGACTGCTCTGTTCTTCCTTAGTTTTACTAAAGTTCAGCCTCATGTATGGAGTTTTATTGTAGGAGTTTTCTACTTTTCAACTTGGGACTTGAAATTTCGTCCTAACATTATTTATAACAAGAACAGAATTGGGAATAACCCAAATGTTCGTCAAGGGAGTAGCTAAGCAAATTATAATTGTATACCTATCAAATATCAACATAAGATCTACATATACGACAAATAGAGATGACATTGATCCATGAACATGTTAAGTGAATAAAGCAGAACATAAAATACCACACGCGTAATGCTTACTACTATGTGCGAATGAAAGAATGTATGCTCTATACATGGATGGGGAGCAGGGGGGTGCCTGTGGAATGATATAGCTTAAAATTAATTTTAAAATTTCCCCTTGAAGCAGCTTAAGTTTTTTCTTTTTCTTCTTCTTTGTCGTTTTTCTCGTGGTTGTCGTGGTCATCTTTATCATCATTGCCTTCTTCTTCTTCTTTTTTTTTAAAAGAAAACCTAACTTTCAGTTCCTAACAAGGTCTCGGCTTCTTTCTCATACTTTTTAGGTTAACACAAATCAGATCACTGTGGTAAGTTCACATTTCACTACATAAATGTGTGACTGATTTCATTTCCTGGCAGTGATAACGCATTTAGAAAAAAAAAAAAAGTCCAACTGAAATTCAATTTAAAAGCAAAGTTTTTTACGCCCGTCTGAAATGTGGGGTGCTTTACATGATTTTATTCTTAACCAGACAATGATTCAAAAAAAGGAAGGGGAAATTTCTGCCTAAAAAGTTAGTGTATTCCCTCTTGTCACAAAAACACATTGGTCCTATTTAGATGGTTCTAGTTCATTTGCCAGACCTTTGCCAAAGTCATCAAATTGTGTGTGTAAAAACACAAATTTTATTGTGTTTTCCTAACTGTTACTACATATGTAACCACAGTACATACCATAGATTTTTAAAAATTATAAATATTAAAATATTTTAAGTTAGATCTATAAAAGACAGTTTATATTGCTTTGAGTTAAATCTGCTTTGAATTAAATGTACCCTTCTTCTTTTTTTCTAGAGACCTTGAACACCGCTGACACAAAAATGAACAACAATTCTAATACATCCTCTCAGGGAAGCAGCTGTGATTTCTATGCACACCACAGCATAACCAGGATCCTAATGCCTCTCCATTACAGCATGGTCTTCATCATCGGGCTTGTGGGAAACTTGTTAGCCTTGGTTGTCATTGTTCAAAACAGGAAGAAAATCAACTCGACCACCCTGTACTCAACCAATCTGGTGATCTCTGACATACTCTTCACCACTGCTTTGCCTACTCGGATAGCCTACTATGCACTGGGCTTTGACTGGAGAATCGGCGAGGCCTTGTGTAGGGTGACTGCCCTGGTGTTTTACATCAATACCTATGCAGGTGTGAACTTCATGACCTGCCTGAGCATCGACCGGTTCTTTGCTGTGGTGCACCCTCTGCGATACAACAAGATGAAAAGAATTGAACATGCAAAATGCATTTGCATATTTGTCTGGATTCTAGTATTTGTTCAAACACTCCCACTACTCATAAAAGCTATGTCAAAGCAGGAGGTGGGAAGGATTACATGCATGGAATATCCAAACTTTGAAGAAACACCATCTCTTCCCTGGATTCTGCTTGGTGCATGTTTTGTAGGATATGTGCTGCCGCTCATAATTATTCTCATCTGCTATTCTCAAATCTGTTGCAAACTCTTTAAAACTGCCAAGCGAAACCCAATAACTGAGAAATCTGGTGTAAACAAAAAGGCTCTCAACACAATTATTCTTATAATTGTTGTGTTTATTCTCTGTTTCACGCCTTACCATGTAGCAATTATTCAACACATGATTAAGAAGCTTCGTTTTCCTGGTCCCCTGGAATGTAGCCAAAACCAGTCATTCCAGGTTTCTCTGCACTTTACAGTATGCCTGATGAACTTTAATTGCTGCATGGACCCTTTTATATATTTCTTTGCATGTAAAGGGTACAAGAGAAAGATTATGAAGATATTGAAACGTCAAGTCAGTGTATCAATTTCCAGTGCTGTGAAATCAGCCCCTGAAGAAAACTCACGTGAAATGACAGAAACTCAAATGATGATACATTCCAAGCATTTAAATGAAAAGTAAAAATTAATTAAATCTTGGATTTATACCAAAGTAAACTGTATGAAGAACTTTGCGGGACTTTTCTCATAAAGTAAAATGATTATTCAACTTCCAATTAGGATTCTTTTAAACTCCTTTCATTGGGCACTATTTTCTACCTCCAACTTGGAAGTAAACTGATAAATATGTATTTTTTTACACTCAAGAGTACAACATAAAGCTAAGTTCTAATTTGTAAATGAAATGCTATACCAAAAAGGAGCTCTTTTAATAACTCTCAGTGTAAGACAAAAAGTTTTGTGTTTATGAAAATCTAATCATTAATATTTCCTGCCAATAATTTGGCAAAAGAAAAAAGACTGTTAAGGTTGTATATGCCAGTGTAAAAATGTTAATATTGTAACATATTTCCTTTTTTTGATAACATATTTCTTGAATCCATGTTTCTTTCAATCTTACACTTGATTGCCTCAATAACACCAGCTTTTTTTTTTTACATTTTTATTGGGGAATTGGGGGAGGGAAACAGCGTTGGGGAAGGGGAACAGACAAGTTGCTGTCCTTTTGTTCTTCAGTCTAGTGGAGGACGTCGCTTCACTGGCCCATGTTGGTATTATCACTGCGTTTTTCCCGGGTGAGGTTGTTGCTTGCCGGCCATTGGATAGCCACTCGCAGTAGCTCACGGCAGCCCACTGCAGCAGGGACTGCAGCCTATGCTGTCGCCGGTGACTCATGGCAGCCTAGCTCCAGGTTGAGCTGTTGTTCACCATCTTAGCTGTAGAGGGCGCAGCGTCACTGGCCCTCTTGTGGGATCTGAACCGGGGCCCTGCTGCCAGAGCTGGCATCTTAACCAACGCGCCACTCGGCCAGCCCAATAACACCAGCTTTTTGTTTTTTGTTCTGAGCCCTAAAATTTTGTTTCAAAGAATTCTTTTGGAATAAAGAGCAGAATTCTACATAATTCTGAGTAAGTCCTTCAATGTCCACTGTCAACTATCAGCAGATGTTACAAGGAGACTATAATTAGAGGTAGATAGATTTGGAAAGCAAATTACAATAAATGATGATGGTGACAGAGGCAATGACAGCACTTAGCTCCCCCCAGCAAACAGCTAGCAGGTACTTTAGGGTCGCTGCTCAGGAATATGACAAGGGCCTTATGTGGCGGTACCCAACAGGAGGAGGGTCCACTTGCTACCTTCTTCTTGGGAATAAAGAAATGTGAAAATATGCTTGGCTTTTCTTGGGTTCCTAGGAAATCATTCCTTTCTTAGTCACAGGTTGCTAGTACCTAGTACCTGTCAATGGTTTGGGTTGTCTGGAAGGGTGGGAAGGATGAGCAGCAAGGGGTGTACTTGCTGCTTGCCTACAAAAGATAGGGAGTAAAATGCAAAACTATAGACTTAGAGTTCCCAGGATTCTTTACAACCTTATACATTTGCTCAGATGAATACCGTAGCATGAGTAGCATGACCTTAGCAAGTATAGTCACCCTGTCTGCTAGCTCAGATTTGTTTTACTCAATCCCCAAATACCCCAAACAGTACCTATATTAGCAATGATACCAATTTTGATAACAGAGCACAAAGAAATCAAATGCTGTATCATGAGTCATACTTTAAATTTTCATTAGGCTTTATATCCTAGAAATATTTTCTTTCTTATTCATTTTCAACTTTTATCTTTTAAGAAAATTCATCTGAATGGTTGATTCAACATCACCTACTGAGTACTTCTGATTTGTATTACATTGATTTCATAAAGAGCTACTTGACCTTAAAGCCGCTGACAAAAATAAGCACCGGTCTTTGAAACACCCTGATGGAGATAGTGAGACCATATGGATGGAAGTCAGAATCTTAAGGCCTTTCCTTCACTCCATCTATAAACCTTCTCAAGTGAAGGAGAAGAACAAAACACCAACTTTTATGCAGGGTGGCACTTATGTAGTTATTTGAACTGGATCCCAAGAGAAAAATCATTGTGAAAGCACTAAAAGAAAATCAGAAACAAAGCTTCCTTAATTTCAGAGCATCTTTATGGGACACTAGTTGTATGACCACATTTGAGCATAGGCTATTTATTATATGTATGAGCCAATATGCTGCTTCATAGCAGCTGAGAAAGTACTCTTTGTGCTAATGAGGTCAATTCTTAAGATCCTTCAAACAAGAAAAATATCTGTGTCATTTCACGAATGAATAACATATTCTTTTATCTGTTTAGTTTTCCACCTCCTCCCTCTGCTACACCACAAATCTATATAAATGACTTAATCCAATCATTTTGCCAAAAAGGTAAACTTTAACCATTATCTCCATCTTTGAAAAAAGTCTGTACTCTAGTCAACCTCAGTCCGCTATTTGCTCTCCTTCAAAAGGCCCTCATTGCCTATTTCATTCATGAAGACATTGTTTATACATGGCCTTGAGACAACCTCCCATCATCCTATACTATTAGCTGACTTTACATTTATTTCCTGTGCATTTCCTTCACAAGTAGGTAAACTTGGAGAACAGGGACTGTTTCAGAACAAAGGAGGTGGCCTAATATATAATGCTGTTTGAAAATCAGAATCCTATAGGTATTTTCTACACAAATCAGATGCTATATTATTAATAATTTTAAATAATAATGAGCTACAAACATTCATCTAGGAAAGCTGATAGTTATATGGCAGCTAACCATGTTTATCTCTTCCATAAATTTATGTTTATTTCTAAAAGGATCATATGGTTAATTAAAACAAAAACCCTCAAAGCTATTTAGTTTGAATCAGTGTAAATACATTCACTCTTCAGTATAGCATAGAATAATACAGATAGTATAGAATAGTAAATATTAAAAATATTATAAATTTAATATACATATTAAAATATCTAATATGTATTTAAATAGTAAATATAAACATAGTAAAAAATGTTAGATGTTAAAAATTACATCAGATATATTTGAAGAGCTCAATAATTTACAAAATACTCCATACATTATGTAATGTCTTCCTTTCCACGATCCTGTGAAACAGGATGAGCAGACAGTATCGCCCACACTTCATAAATAAATCTAAGTTCAGAAAAGGCACCTGGGAACTTAGAGGAAGCATCGGGAATATAACCTTAACTCCATATCCTAGCTGTAAAGAACACAGAAATGAATCACAGAGACCAAAAACATATTAGAAGGCTTGTTTCATTAAATGCCAGAAGACAATCTATCCTTAAATAGGACTAATAACCAACAGTAGGTAGATTACAAACTCAGCTAGGCTGTGAGTTCTATGAAGACAAGGATGTCATCTGTTATAGACACCGCGTCTGGTACAGAGCCTGGCACACAGAAGGTTCTCAAATATCCATCTAACTGAATATCACCCGTTTTGTACTATTCTAAAGTCCTATTGAAATAGCTATGAAGTTCTTAATTTCTCAATGAAGTTAAAAGAAACACCCTAAATGTATATGGTAGAGCATATGTGTAATTGAAGAGTTACCATCCAAGACCCTGCAATTTAAAACTAGACATATTAAAAGATAGAGCTAATTACCCAATAAGCTAATTTAAATGTAGATACAGAAATATTTTCTGCTTGGAAAGAATTTTATATTTTAAGAGGCAAGGGCTGTGACGCTTACCAATCAGTAAAAAGTACCAGGCAATTTTAAAAGGGGAAGCACTGATCTTAAATTAGTCCTTAAAATGGTCTATTTTGGTCACCTGTTAACCCACTGTTTTTCTTTGCAAGGCTAGAAACATTTGCTCATTGACCATTCAGGTTAAGAATGATAAAATGAAAAGCTGATCTGGTGACAACACAGCCCATTCTTTTGAATCTACAGAGGACTAAATGCACTCATGAGAACTGCTGCCAATAGAAGTCTGATTTACATTAAAACTCTGAAACACTGATCACTTAAAGATAATCCCCAAATTTCTATTCAACTAAAAGCTCAATTAGCTAAAAAGGAACAATTATTAACCATTTGCTCCAAGCCACTTTTCTGAGTACTTGACAGGCATTATCTCCTGTAATCCTCGTTACTTAAGAGATGGGTACAATTATTATCTCCATTTTGCTGATAAGAAAGTTAAGAGTGCCAGGCCACATGAAGAGGTGGAGCCAAGACTTAAATCCAAACATCTGATCCTGGTGCCTGAAGCCTCACTCAGAGCATCAGAGCCACTTCCAAAAACATGTCAGGCTCCAATCCGCTACTTCCTGTGGCCTCCTGAGCCTTGGGCATCTCCCATCACTACATCGCAACTTCAGCTCATCTTCTTTCCTTGCAGGGACCCCCTAATTTCTCTGCAAACTCAAGCTTTATCTCTGTCACCCACATCTGATCATCTGATCATCCTTTCCGCATCCATGGTATTTAGCTGGTGAATCCTGCTCGGGTGTTCTCCTCTTGCAGTCTCTTCTGCCCATCTTTTCTTTGCCCAGTATCATCATCATAGTTCAGATGCTGGCATCACAGACATATATTACTACATCTTCTTTCTCCTGGCCCCCTCAACTAGAGTCAGAAACTTGAGCCTTTCTTTTAGATGCTACACTGAAAGCAAGATTAATAATAACAACAATAATACATACTTGCTAACAATTACATGGCATAGTGCTCTAATACACACACACACACACACACACACACACACACACACACACAATTTTTCTCTTTCAAACCTCAAAAATTCTGTGAGGCTTGTCCCATTACTATCCCTATTTTATAGGTGAGGAAATTATGCCCTGAAGAAATTGAGTAACTTGCCTAAGGTCAGATAGTTAGTAAGTGAGGGAGCCAGGCTCTAGACTCTGACAGTCCAATTCCAGGGTCTGCACTCTTAATCACTATCTTCTCACTCTTAAACAAGTAGAATTATATGACCCAGGTCCTTAGAGAGCCTTGGAAGAGAAACTCACCAAATTCCTCAAGTTCACATGAGAGGCACATGGGACTACTTCTGGCCGATGGATTGGGAGCGAAAGCGACATATGTCACTTTCAGGCAGAAGCGTTAGAGCAGTGAGGAATATTCCACCCTACTCTTTCCTCTTCACTCCTGCCATAGCGACCAGCGATGTTCAAGACGATGGGACCTTTGTCAGCATGGGTCCTCGAATGAGTAAACGGAGAATTCCCCATACAAGACATACATTTATGTATTTAGCCACTGAAATTTCAGGGTTAATTTGTGGTTACAATATAAGCTAGCCTTATGATTAATAAAGTGTTTAACTTACTTAGAATGAAACAGACCAACACACACAGAGTGTAAGAAAAGAAAAATGCAGACACTATCCAGTTCTCCTAGCAAACAAACATAATCTTCCTTAATCCCACTTTCACTGTGTCATTTCATGCTCAAGGATTGAGAATAGTTCCCCATGGTCTACAACATTAAGTCCAAGTTCCTCTCCTACACTTTCAAGCCCCTGTAACCTAATTTCCCTCCATTGCTCAACATGTATTGTTCAAGGTAGCATCGTTGGTTTTGTCTCTGTCCCATGAATATAACAATACTTG